AAGAATATTTTCATTCTCTTCCTCCTCCCTCTCTCCCTCTTTTCCCTTCAACCCCTCTCCCCCCTCTCTCCCTTTCCCCTGCCCCCTTCCTCATAATTTAATAGTGCTAGGTTTCCCAAAGGTCTCAGCATTATATTGATTAATAATGCCTTCTGTCTTTACATAGTAAGCATTTGTTTTTGAAATCATCATAACTGAGTAAAAGTTTTTGTTATGTCAAGTTAGAATTGAGTTTATGATGCCACATGACTTGTATCAGAAATGGATTGCTTTGGAGAAGCAGTTTCCCATGAAATTGGGGAAAAAATGAATTGTATAAGCATTTGAAATTTAGGGAAGTATGTTATCAAAGTACCGAGTATCCCAGGAATCACCCTAGTGACACTTTGGGCTTGGGTACTTTGTTGTAAGAGTGAGTCTGTCCTGTGTATTTTTGCCTCTACCCACCAGATGCCAATAGCCTTTCTCCCAGTTACGAAGATCAGAAATGTCCCCAGACATTGTCAAATGTCCCCTGGGGCACCAAAATCACCTCTGGTTAAAACCCAGTCATAATGTAATGTTATCTTTCCATGCTTTGTCTCCCTCCAGGCATATATTAACACATGCATGCAAATTCCTTTTTCTTCTGTCACTTTCTTCCTCTTATTCCTCTTTCTCTTGCGAAGAATGTGAAAACTTTGTGTTTCAGTGTTTTTCTCTTTTCTTCTTCTCACCCCTAAATTAAAAGTACTTTAGAAAGAAATGGTACGGCTGCTAAGGTAAATGCAACTGCTGGCTCCTTGCCTGCTTGCATTGGCTCTGTCAAGCACCAGGTGTTGGTGGAGTTCTCTTGCCTCTCCTAACCCCTGGAAACATCCTCACAGCGCATGCACCTGGGTGTGGAGAGACAGGCAATCTTCACACCTTTCTGTGGCTTTCTGACGTACTGACACAATTCTAGTAACTAGAGTTGCAGTTCAGCTGCTTTTCGGAAAGCAGTCTACTGTCACCATCATTTTCTATTCCAAATGGGTCCTGTGTCCAGGTGGTTTGGGGTCTCCGTTTTTAGTTCTCAGAACTGGGCAGAAACCCCAGTCACACAGACACAGACAGAAACCTCCGCCCAGCATTTCTGTGTGTGCTTCCCTTAAATGGTTTTCCTCGCTAACCCATGAACATGCCTGGCTGCCCTTTGGTCCCCTTCTGGTTTCAGTTCTCCTTTCACCTGCTTTGGGCCAGAGTTTTAATATAAACGGGTGTTCATCCTATCATACTGGTTGCCATAGCATTGTGGATTGCTTACAATATTTCTTCCTCTATTGCTCTTGGTTGCTGATGTTTCTTTTCCATCCCTTACCACAGTTCCCAAAAATCCCTCATGTTCTATAAAGAAATTTAAACTTTCATTAAAATGAAAATTGACTTATTTTGTTCTTTATTATTAGAAGCATACTGGTTAAACTTCTGCATTACTTTTGGAAGGTTGTCTAGTATAATGTGCATTTCATTCAGCTCTCATGTGGGGTTTTAATAATTGTACTTTGAAAAATCTCATGAATTATAAGATCATCTTAAAATTACCTTGTATTTCTAACTGCTATGCTTCTCTTCTACCACCCCACCTTTCAAAAAAATCAGCTTCTTGATTTCAGAAGAAAAGGATGATTATTTCTTTTGCTATTGAGATGTGAATCCTTTCACTGCTCTGTGTCTTCTGAGCCATGGGCAGCAAGCCTGTATGACATAGCCAAAACCAGTTTTTATGTCAGATGTATAACCTTTCTAGCTGTAGTAACTCTTCCCTCTGATATCAATTCAGTTTGAATTTGGGAGTAGTCTGAGGAAGGTCCATGGCATTAGGCTGCACAATTGAAATTCTTGGCATATGACCAGTATACAACAATATCTCCCACCCTGCACATGGCAGGGCCAGGGATAGGCTGTGGAAGTCCTCACCAAATCAGAGCAGGGTGGACTTCCTCCTCTGTTACCCAGAAACTCACTTCCAGATTGAGTAGGCTGTTCTTAATTTTGCTTGTTTAGTCTTAATGGTTTATGTTCCTGATTGATAGTTCGAAAGCTTGCCTTGATGAGAGGTATGTCTATGGAAAGGATAATAGGGAAATAAACGCTTGTCATGGCCTGTTTTAAGATATAATCTTGTTGCCCTGAATCGAAATTCGGGGTTTCTAAAAGTGCTTGACTATAACTCACAGGCACATTAAAAATACTGTTTTCCTGAAATCCACACTTTAAATTTATTTTTTTTCACACTTCTCAGAATCAAAAAGTTTTTATTTAGTTTCATTTTGTTCAGAGAGAATGGTCCACCATTCTAGAAGATAAAAATGATTCTGTAATAAATGAAAAGTAATACAATAAATGGGGGAGTTACATTTTATGAATTTTCAACAGAGGGAGGAAAAATAGAGATTGCTTTGGTCTCCACTGAGACCTAGAGCAACTGGAGGGTAAACGTCACTGAGCTCTTTGAACATCTCAGAGAAAGAATCATTATGAACTTTGAAGAACCCAGCAGTTCTCTGAAAAGAAACACTCCATTGAGATAGTGGAATTGGCTATTTAAAAAACGATGAGTGGGAAAGAAATACTTTTTATATTCTACTTGGTCATTTTTATGTATGCTATACTCATTAATGCACCTCAAAGAAACCTTTAGTATTAGTCAAAAATTATTGGAAATTTAGAGTAAATTTAGAAAGCGATATTCCATATGAAATATTTGCCATGACATTAAATAGACAGTTCTTCAGTCACACATAAAATTCAACATGATTTGCAATCACCTGTTCAGGAAAGCTTGTATGGTGTAATGATAAACATGGTGAGTTTAATAAAGCTCAGTGCAGAGAATTAAATGGGCATTTTCTATCAGAATGAGCAACTTGCAGAGAAATTGCATAACTCTATTTCTGCCTTTTTTAAATGCAGGAAACTCTATTTTGGTGATATCTTTTACATTTTACTTAAAGTAGTAGCAATGTAAAAAATGACTTTTTAAAATAATGATTTTCATTTTATAACTCGTATCAGAATAAAACTACTGGTACACCCGTAGAAAAGTTCTATGTCTTAGGAACACACTTGGTCAACTTTGAGCTGTTCTGTGATTCTCACAGCTATGAGGTTACTAGCTCGGACATCTCTGTTTACAGCCAGCATGCAGGGAGTCACCTGGAGTTCCCGGGTTTGCCTTTGTCTGTGCAAGTCAATCAGCCAGAAACCAGATTGCTACTATAAAAGAATACATGTACCACTATAAATATTTGAAGCCAGCATGTGTTTTTTCAGACTTTTGTCTGAACATTTTCTTCTCTCAATTGAACATTGAAGTCAAAAAGGGGAAAAACACAGTTTTCTATTCTTTTTAAATTAAAGTTACGTGTTGGGAACTTAAAGACATGTTGGGAAAACCTCTAGTGATATTGATCACATGGCTCTTGGGGAATGTGTACAGTGAATTGCTTCTACATTTTTAATTCAAAAACAAAGCATGCTATGGAAGTGCTATGTGAACTTACTTGAAACTTCCGTTTGAGCACTGAAGAAATGACCGTGTACAGGATAAACGAGTCTTTAAGCAGTCTCTACGTAACAAGTTACTGTTAATATTTATTCAACTTCATTTTTATTCAACTTTCTTTTGTGTGGTTCTTATCTGAGCAAAGAATGCAAGTACCACGGTAGTAGAAATAGAAAACAGACTATAGCTCCAAAGGTGCTTACAGTCTCTTTGGGAAGATAAAAAAACACATTTTTAAAAAACTAATCATTATAATGTATATGATACAGAATAGAGTCACCATCATTTGTCTGACAAGATTACATGGAAGAAAGAAATAACCATTAAGAAATGCTTACCCTATAAATAGTTACTTAGATATTGAGGAAAGTTTGGGCTTCAGTTTTTCATCATTAAATTGAAACACTTTAAGGTCATGATAATTTAAATAATACATGTAAAGCATAGAAAAAAAATACCTGGCACATAGCAAGTGCTCAGAAAATGGTAGCTACTCATAACAGTAACATCATCTGGTTTAATAATAGTACCTATGAATTATATAGTATTTTTCCATTCCACACATGAAGAAATTAACACTTGAAGAGGGTAAGTTGCCTACGATTGTCCAGCTAAATAAGGGATGGAGCTAGGATTGAACCCAAGGACTCCAACTCCAGAGACCAATCTCTCAACATTAATGCTATCATACTGCTTTGTCATTCATTCATTTATTTCACAAAAAGTAATCTAACCTATCTACATGCCAAGTACTATTTGTCTTTAATAACAACATTACATTAAATGCATAGGAAAATATACTAAATGTGATGGAGATTGGCATACAATGACATTATATTAACTTTTTATTTTGACAAAGCCTAATTCAAATATTTAAACTTATTTATAAATAACATCTGCTTAATAAATACTAGAATCAATGATTATTACTTCTCCTAGTAACATGAGCTAGATTATACCAAATAAATGCTGTGTTTATAAAACCTTGGATTCTTACACTGTATCATTCATACATTTAGGTAGGACTTAAGTGAAGAAATTTCATGTTCACGTTTTTCTTTTACTCACTCTTAAATTTACCAACAAAACACTATCCATAGATTGACCCTTGTGTTCTAACTACTAGAAAGCAGAAAAGTCATACACCATTTGCTTCTTTATCCAACAGTCATGACATGCTGTGTTCTGAATAGAAGCATCATGGTTGAGTTTAAATAGAAAATGGTCTCTTAGTTTCATGTGCAGTGGGATCCTTTCAATATGCTTGACTTTTCCTCTGTACAGTCCCTTTCATCTCAACCTTCATTATAAGTGGAACTGTAAAGTGAGTTTTGTGATTATTTATTCTTTAAACCAAAGAGGTTTACTTGGTTCCTGATACCAGCCGAGCTGTGACCTGTTGATCGTGTAGTTTAGCATCCCCAATAGAGTCATATGAACACTTTTCCATTTGGTGGTGTTTTCCGTTCAGAGGTCAACCATCGGATTGTGTATGTGCTGAATCAGATTTTTTAAAAAGATTATATATTGTCTTCTTGAATGTTTTATCTAAAAGAAGAAATACAATGGGGTCTGTGCTACTTCTGGCTGATGCAAGGCAGGTGAGGATGTTTTTTATCTCAATTAAATAATTCAGCTGCTTACAGTTGTCTCTTTGGTGTAGAACATAAAAAATGGGTTTAAAAATGCTATATGGGAGGAAACAAATTATTAGTAGAATCTGGATGACCAAAAGATGCTTTCTCACCAAACTGTAAGTCAAATCTTTCTCCGTAATGGATGTACAGGTTCTTATTTTTCTCAGATGACTGACAAAAGAGTAATATGATGTTAATACGACTAAAAATGAAAATCCAGTAAATGTGGTTCCAATGAGGCCTGCAATCTGAGAGATCATGGCTCCAAGTTCCATCTTCCGATTATAGCACATAATCTCTTCTCCTTCTGTAGCCTCTGCAGCTGAGTAGTATATGATAACTGGAACAATTAAGCCTAGTACAACTCCCCATATGTAAACACACAGTCTTTTAGCAAAGTTGGGCTGGCGGAATTTTTTCAGTAAATGGCCATAAAATATTTTCTCGTAGCATGATGTAGTCTCTTGTCTGGAATCCTTTTTCATTAAGGTGGCATAGCGGCTTATGGCAATCCAACTTAAAATTAAGAGGCTGACAAACATACTTACATGTATGGATAGAGCTCCCAAAAAACTGACCACCCTGCATTGTGGTGATCGATATTCCCATTGAAAACCTTTGACAAAATAGATAACCATGAAAGGCATAGCACTGCATACAAGTAAGTTCGCAGTCACAAGATGTGTTAGGTAGATGTGAGTTGATGTTTTCTTACCTATTTTTGCTAAAAATACCCACTGAGAGAGAGAATTTCCAAAGAGACCAATGATACAAAGGAAGATATAAAGCACTGGTAAAGCCATGGAAGAGATCATGGATGGTTGAATGCATGTTGAATTGTTACTCATTGATAGAAGATTTTCTTGAATTATGTCACAGGAGCTAGAACAGAATTACAGACATTTAATGTTAAAGTTATAGATGGTATTTAAGCTGAGTATGTTTAAAGCATTGGATAAAATAGTGACATAAATGTCTTGGATGGAAAAGGAAAGTACAGATGCCTTCTCACCTTTTCTGATCACAATTGTCCAGTCAAAATAAAAGCAAAACGTTGATTGTTGTGTAAAGTACCTTTGTCTAAAAAACAAAATTTGATACAAATAGTTAAATGCCTGACTTTTATCATTTTATACTAGAGGAATTTATAATTCTTATATTAGATTGTAAAGCAATTTGTAAATAACAGTTGGTATTTTGCCTAAAAAGGTAATGGAAAAAATTTTAAGACATAATGCAACTAATACATACAGGCCAAAGGAGAGTGGTACAAAAACATTTTGTGACCCCATTAATAGAGAGAAGATTGATTTTTAACTATCACCTTAATTGTACGTAAATATTTTTCAAAATTGTGTCTTTTCATGACTAGGACAAAGCATTTCTCCATAATCTAACACAATGAGAAGAGTCTCTTCACATTTCAGAAATAATTCCGTTTGAACAAATACTCAGGCAGGATCCTGAATTGAACAGAAGGAAAGTGTAGTAACCAAAGATAAACACCAGAATCCAACAGTTTTTACCAAGGGTCATCAGTAATTTCTTATTTCAAATATTTAACACTAAATTATCATACTTGAATAAAAAGTTTAAAATTCTGTCAAAACTATAGTTGCTGTGCTTGTTGGTTAGAGCACCCTCATGTGTCTTTGTGTGTAATTGGCTATCTTGGGTTTTACTGTTTTGTATGGAGTTTTTTTTCCTAATTTTTTTAATTTATAAATCATGTTTATTCTATTACAGTTGTCTCCATTTTTTCCCCTTTACCCCCTCCACCCTTCCCACCCCCACCCTCCACTCCACAGTCAATTCTCACTCTGTTGTCCACGTCCATGGGTCATTCATACATGTTATTTGTCTAGTCCCTTCCCCTTCTTTCCACCATTGTCCTCTTTCCCCCTCCCCTCTGGTCACTCTCAATCTGCTCCATGTTTCTGTGCCTGTGATTTATTTTGTTCATTAGTTTATTTTGTTGAATAGAGTCCACTTATAGGTGAAACCATGGTATTTGTCTTTCATCAACTGGCTTATTTCACTTAGCTTAATATTCTCCAGTTCCATCCATGTTGTCACAAAAGGTAGGAGTTCCATCTCTCTCTCTCTTTTTCTTTCATTCTTAGATGCAGATTGATTTTATTTATTTTTTAAATGTCAAAGTTAATTATAAAATATTAAAGAAATTTAAAACCATTATAAAGTCTCAGCAATTAAACCAACATGACACCAGCACAGAAATAATCAAGTAGATCAGTGAAATATAATGAATGTTCTAGAGACAAATGTATATATCTGTCTAACAATATAATATATGATTAACTTGATATTTCAAATCAATGGGTAAAATAAGACTTATTCCACAAACAAGGTGCATGGACCACTATTACTTGAAATAAAACAAATAGAGAGCCCTCCTTCACACATTATACAAGAAATATTCAGGTGAATTAAAAATCAATATGTAGAATCTGAGGAGTTTTAGAAGAAAATAGAACTAATATTTTTCATGACCTGAAGTAACATATTCAAACCCAGAAGCTAAAGTAAATATTGACAATATGACTATATTAAACATTTAACTATATAGTAATATGTTTTGTATGTTTTCCAGAAGCTATTTTAATCACAGCAAAATGCTGGTATGGTTTTTGCTCTTTAATGTTTTATTTTTAAATATTTCTCCAAAGAGTATGTATGAAGAAGTGTTGAAGAGTCACATACAAACTGGTTGTCATTCTTATTTTTCTCATATCCTCATTTCTTTCAAGTGAGAATAATAAAAGTTATTGGATTCTCGTCAAATAAGAATCATGACCTATATTTGGAATGCTCCATACGTCTTTGTTTTTCACCATAACTTTCTAGGTACCACATTCTTCAGTCTTTTATAATCTGGAGTGTGGATTTTCTATCTTATTTTTATAATCATATTCTCTCTCTTGATAAACACAAATTTTTTACCATACACTGCCTTCTGAGATCCTTATATGCCCTCAGCCCCTCAGGGCTATTTACTCTCTGTCCCTCTCAGAATCATGGTTGTATTTCTACCTCTTGGATTAAAGAAAAAATATATTTGGAAAAATCCTTATTATAACTTTGAAATATTTTTTTAAACCAAACAATATCCACCTAAAGACTTGAAAACTTGAGAGCTATGCAGTGTCTGTAGGTTCAAATGCTGTGATCCTTAATTAATGTCTACTGATATCTTTGTCATTTTATTTTATTTCTTTGCCATTTTTATTTAGAAAATAGTCAATCTGCTTCAAAGTTACTATATATCTAGTTGTAAAGATACAATACAAAACCTAAATTGAAACAAACCAGTCAACTAGAAAGTAAAATAAGTCTGTTTATTTCTTAAGCCAGTTTGATTTCTAATCATAGTTTTTATTTTCAATAAGGAATGGAGCTTCCTTTTATGATTATATTAAAAACATACTCCCTGCCTTGTGTAGATAATGTTATATACTAAAATGTGTAAAAGTAATAGTTTCTGTATTAATAGATTATACTCCTTTTTTTTTTAAGTAGACCACCTCATACAGCATCTGATATCTCATATTACTCATTACCATTGCCTTGCATTTCTATTTCACACAAGCAAATGTTTCAGAACAGAAGGGAGGTTAAAAAAAAAAAAGACTTTCACACAGTCTAGCATTATCAGACATAGGATAATGAGACTCTCCATAGAACTTCAGTGTAACAAATGACAACTAGTTCACATCTCTAGCTTCCCAAATATCAAACTTGTATTTACTATGTACCTCTCCTTTAAAAATTAACTTTGATTATAAAACTGTTGGATAATTATTTTCTAAAATTTGAAAAATACTGTATATGAAGCTTAAGAAATCAAATAAAAATCTCCCCTTTATATACAGAATTGCTCTCCAGAAAATGTCTACAAGTCTGCATTCCCCTCACTATAGTGTCTGATTTGAGTCATGCACACATTGTGTCTCTGCTAATTTGACAAATGAAAAAAGTTATAAACTCTAACTTCAGTTACTAATGATTATCTACATAATTAATAGCCTACCTTTCTTGATTTGTTTTCAAATTTTAAACAGTTTAAACAATTTAATTCTGTTAGAATTTTTACAGAGTTAGCTTTTAAGCCAAAAATAAGTGATCAGTCTTACCTGTACAAGTAGTTTATGCCAACTAAGGCTCTGTTTTTCAGGACGGTGGTGCTAAATTTCACACTTAAAATTCTCTGATCACTTTCTCAGTATCCTTCAGTTTTTATCAATATGAACAGGTTCTTGCATGACACCAATGACAGAGGTAAAAAAAAAAAACCAGTATTGTAGAAATTCAATAGTTATAGTAAATGTAGCAACTATCTCCACCCACCAAAAAAAAAAAGTTATTTCTCTGTTTCTGCAGTGGGAGGAAGTTGGTGGACCATACATATATACTAGACTGCCATGTGATTATTTCATGACCTTTATGACCCAGTTACACCTCAGCTTTATTAGCATGTCTGATTGAAGTTCAAAGGCTTAATCCCCATTGCTAGTTAGTTTTATACAGCACAGTGGTAGAGTAACCACTCCATATTGACCCAGTAAAATATTGTTACAAATTCATCTGTAAAATTATCTGTGGGTGACTTATTTACAATTTGTCTTTGTCAAGAATAAAAGGAAACAGAACTCAAAGTTTTCTTACCTACAGAGCTTACTAGAATCAAATATCATAGAGCTAGAATAGAACTTCATGATCGCCTATGAGTATAAACCCTCAATTTTAAGGAAAAAGGAGTGAGGCCCAATACAGCCCACTCTAAACACAGGCTGCACCCGGGGTTTCGGTCCCAACTTGATTACTAAGGACTAGTGCATTCTAGTTTGAATTTCCCTGCGCTGCCTCCATTTCAGGTTCAAAGTTGGTTTGGAGCATTTCACAATGGATTTGGAGACTCCTCGAAAGTGCTAAAATATGAAGACCAAATATGCCTCAGATAAAATAGTTATATTATGATATAAAGAATTGTGAAACCAATTTTATGTATAAAATTTTTTACCAGTCTGAACTAGTAACTAAATGAAAGCTAAGCATGTACAGCTGGGGAGCCAGACCTGAGTCACACACAACCCTTTTATGGGAAGTTAAACCACTGGGAGTCTGAGAATGGGAACAGAAATATAATTTTATCAAATCTGACTACTTTACCAGTAAGTCTCCATTTAAAATTAATAGTATTTTGCCATTTCTCAACCCCCAATGCTCACCCTATTTCATGTTGATTGCATAAATATTCCCTAACATTTGCTAATATTTCTCTTTAAACCAAGTGAGAATCACCTTAGTGTCTGGATTTTGTGTGCTGCTCTTCATCTCTGCAATGCTTGCCTTGATTTAATTAAAAGCAGTGACTCATCCAGGGTTACATGTCCATTTATGGCAGAGTAATTTGGCCTCTGGAATTCATGTCATTATTACTTCAATTTTTCATGTTACAGGAAGGAATTACTTAGAACAAAAAACAGTTTCAAGTAATTTGGAGAAGAATGGAATGCTGTTTATAATGATAGAAAGACAGTTTTAATATTACCTGTTTGAGGCTTAAGTACCCTTGGTCCAAAAAAAGAATGTCCGTGTTCTCCACAACTTTTCTGCCATGGTCCCCAAAATCAGTAAAAGATACCACCACTTCTTTAGTTATTCAAGCTTAAAACCTAGGAATCAGCTTTGATTCTATTCTTCATATTTTGCATCCAGTCTCTACTACTGCAGCTTCTTATCACCACCACCACTAATTAGCAGACAACTGGTCCTGTCCAAAACATCCAGAAACATTTGGTCCATGCCAAATGGTCCTTGAAATTTGGACCTGTCAGAAACATTTGCACTTAAGAAATGTCCCTGGGTTCAAACAACCCATAATGTTTATTTATACTTTTGGTTTATAGGATTAATGCATTAAAAAAATACTATCAGGAGATTTTGGCCAAAATGGAGGCATAGGTGGACACACTTTGCCACCTCACACAACCATAGGGAGAACAACCAGCCTAAA